TCCTCACCCACCAGAACATCCACAGACACTCCCCCCGGGACCTGAAGGACCTCCTCACCCACCAGAACATCCACAGACACTCCCCCCGGGACCTGAAGGACCTCCTCACTCACCAGAACATCCACAGACGGGGTGAGCAACCAAGATGGCGGCAGCTTAACCTCGTGGCGCTCCTGATAATGTGGTTATTTTATCCTCCCTCGTTAAATTGAGTTTTTCTTTCCTATATCTTCTGCTCAAGAATGAAAGATAAAGTCAGAAACAAGCTTAAAACTAAACCACGGAACACTTTACCAAGTCAAGACATGATTCATTGAATGAAGAGGACAAGAGCAGAGATGCTATGCTAGCTTCTCAGAGACAGAGGCGCTCCACATGGAGCCGCTGGAAGCAGACGAAGAAACAGTAAATCTCCAAACTATCCTCCGTGAGCTCAGACACTCACGTCGTGAAAATGACCAAAACTTCCGCGAACTGAAAGAGAGAGTTGATAAGAGACTTGATGATGCAGAAAAGCGCATTGCGGAGGTGGAAGACAGAACACAACACATCGAGGAAGCAACACTTGAGCTTGTTAAGGTGCAAGAGGAACTTCAAGCAAAAATCATAGACTTGGAATCAAGATCCAGACGTGAAAATGTTCGCTTTCATTTCATTCCGGAGGGGGCGGAGGATGGCTCTCCATCAGTCTAGGACTTTGTCACGACTTTGCTCAGAGAGAATTTAACCCTCCCGCCGACGCTGGACTTGACCATAGAGCGAGGACACCGCTGTCCCGGGCCGAAGCCGCCACCGAAGCAACACCGCGGTCAATAGTGGTTAAATTCGCCTCATACAAAACAAAAGAGGAAGTTTTCAAACAAGTGTGGCAAAGAAGAGGACTAACGCTGGGGGGAAAAAAGGTGATGGTGGACCACGACTACGCCCCGGATATACTGAAAAAACGCCGTGAATACACAGAAGCGAAAAGAGTTTTGAGAGAAAACAAGATAAGGTTCCAAACACCGTACCCGGCAAAACTGAAAGTTTTCTATGAGGGCGACACGAGGATCTACGCATCTGCAGCGGACGCGACAAAAGACATGGCCAGACGGGGTTTACCTGTAACAGTTCTGAAGCCCGACGCATCCTGGGCCGACAAGATCAGAGACACGATGTGGCAGAGAGCGGGACGAGCGGAAGACGAGAGGAGCGGCGAGGGACCCAAGGCTGGATACAAGAAAAACTAGAGGCTTTCCGGAGGGAATAAGAAAAACTGTGTCCACATCGACGCGACAAATTTCTCACATTAAGAGGGAGGAGTGAGAGGAATATTCTTTTGTTTTTAAGAGGAAATATCGGGGACTACGGGATAACAGTGCGATGCACTGCACCAAACAGGTACCGCCACCAGAGGGCCCCTCGCGACCTCCAGGTTGTGAGGGCTTTCCCTCTAATTTGCTCATGACTCATCTCAACACCAACCGTGTGGTCTTCACAGAGACCACCGAGAAGGAAGTCACTTCAAGGTGGACACATGTTAATGTGATGAAAAAAGTTCAATTGTTCAAACTGTTCATTGTTTTCTTATGTTCGAGTAGCACAGGGAATCACTTATTAAGAGATGTTAGTTAAAATATATGCAAAAATGGCTTCTCCAGCTCTTTTACGTATTTGTACATATAATATAAAGGGAGTGTTGAATCCAATCAAAAGAACCAAGATACTGGGGAAAATGAAAACAGAAAATGTAGATGTGGTATTCTTACAAGAGACCCATTTATCAGATAAAGAACACGAGAAATTGAGGCGATATATCGAAGATAATGATAAGGACATGTTTCTCCAGAAATATTGTGGGATGCGTGTAAAGCGGTTCTGAGGGGTAAATTGATTGCAAAAGCCACATTACTGAAAAGAAAACGCCAAGAAAAAATTAGAAATTTGGAACTACAACTACGTGTATTGGAAGACCAACATAAATTAAAACAAAACTATTATGAAGCAGGAAGTAAATCAGCCAAAACTCTAGCATATAGATTGAAAAAACAGCAAGCTGAAAGAGCCATATATAAAATAAGAAAACCATCAACGAAGGAAGTAATCTACGAACAGAAAGAAATTGGAGAGTGTTTTGCAAGGTATTATCAAAAGCTCTATTCCTTAAAACAACGGGATGAAAAAGATTTGACTAAAACATTGTTAGACAAACTAAAACTACCAATAATCTCAGAAGAACAAAATAGAACTTTAACAAATACAATTACCGCTCAAGAATTAACAAAAGCGATAAAAAGACTAAAACTACACAAGTCCCCAGGCGCAGATGGATATAATGCGGATTGGTACAAAATTTACATAGAAGAACTCACACCTCTTCTTTTGAAAACATTCAATTGGGTTTTAAATGGAGGTCAGATCCCCCCAACATGGAGAGAGACAATAATTACAGTTATCCTGAAAGAGGGAAAAGACAAATTGGATTGTTCCAATTTCAGACCAATCAGCCTTTTGAACCAAGATTATAAAATCTTTACCTCAATAATGGCAAGAAGATTAGAGCATATCATACCTGATATAATAAACCTGAACCAGACAGGATTTATCAAGGAAAGAAAGACAAGAGATAACATCAGACAGACGTTCCATGTGATTCACCAGATAAAAAAAAAAATGCCCAAGCAGTAATTATGGGCCTAGACGCCCAGAAAGTATTTGACACCGTAGATTGGACATTTCTGTATCGGGTACTTTCTCGCTTTAATTTTTCCGAAAAATGTATAAAAATAATTCAAGGTCTATACAACAAACCCACTGGGAAAATCAGAATAAATGGTGGCCTAACAGACTCCTTAAAACTCGAACAAGGCTGTAGACAGAGCTGCCATTTGTCACCAATTCTGTTTGCAATATTCATTGAGCCTTTAGCGCAGTGGATAAGGCAAAATATAAAAATAAAAGGCATCACGGTGAATGGCATGGAACAAAAGATTGCACTATTTGCAGATGACATTCTAATTTACTTGACAAAACCAGCAGAATCAATTCCAGAGCTATATAAAACTCTAATGGACTATGGGAAAGCATCTGGTTACAGATTAAACCCTCATAAAACTCAGGTGCTGACATTCAATTATAAACCAGAATACGATATCAAGAAATTATTTAAAATTAATTGGGATATGGAATCAATGACATATTTGGGAATAAATATTCCCCAGAAAATAGAGAAAATAAATGCCACAAATTATGATCCATTAATAGCTAATGTAAAGAAAGATTTGGACAGGTGGAGTTTGATACCTTTTTTAGGAATTCTACAAAGAGTAGAATCAATTAAAATGATCATACTGCCCAAACTGTTACACCTGTTCCAAACTATACCTACTGCTCCAACAAATTCTATGTTTTTAGAACTGGACAGGTTGTTTTCAAGATATATCTGGGAGGGGAAAAAACCTCGAATTAGGTATAAGACTCTGCAACTAAACAAAAATGAAGGAGGCTTGTCTCTCCCAAATATGAGAAACTACTTTAAAGCAGCTCAGCTAAACCCACTAGTAAACATGTGCAACCCATCTTATACAGCTAACTGGAAAGAAATAGAATGTACAACAGAAAGTAAACCACTACAAGCGGCTATAGGAAATATAACCTATTGAACAAATTAACTGATGTCAACCCTTGGTCGAAAACTGCAATTAATATTTGGTCAAAATTAGTCAAAGATTACAAAGAAACTTGTTTGATGATTAGATGGATTGCATATGACGAAGACTTTACTCCCAACTTAGAGGACAAGACTTTTAAAACGTGGTCTGACAAGGGATTAAAGATATTTAATCGTCTATATTTCAAAGATTCCATGAGAAGTTTTCAAGACTTGAAACAAATTTACAATCTTGAAAACAAAGATTTTTACAGGTATCTTCAAACTCGCCATTATTTGGATAAAAAGAATAAAGAACACAGAGAAACCCCATTATCAGGCATAACTAAAATATTCTTACAATCATATCAATCAGGTCCAAACAATAAATTGATCTCTAAACTATATAATGAATTACAAAATGCAGAGGGCGATAACTCATTGTATATAAAAGAAAAATGGGAAAAGGAAAGTGAATGCAATATACAAGAGGAAGATTGGAATAAAATTCAGAAGAACATATGGAGGACCACGTCCTCTCCTTACTGGCGAGAACACGTGTGGAAATGCATGGTACGATTCTTTAAAACACCGGCACAAAGAGGTTCAAAGGCGGATACATCGTGTTGGAGATTATGTGGGAATAAAAAGGCATTACCATGTTTTTTGGAGTTGCCCCAAATTGAATCAATATTGGGAGATAATTAAACAAAACATTGATGAAACATTTAAAGTAAAGATCCCTTTGAATTTCGAAACTATGTTTTTGGGCAAATGGTCAAATGACATCAAAGGAATAAAAAAATATATGTGGAACATTCTGCTGGTTGCAAGTAAAAAAGTAATAACCAAAAAATGGATGAGTGACAAACTACCGAACTTGGAGGACTGGATTAACATTGTCGAAGACATTTCGCAAATGGAAAGATTGACACTCACACAAAGATTGGAATACGACAGGTATGAGGAAGGCTGGAAACCATGGAAAGATTTTATTAAAACCCGAACATGATATTTAAAAAAAAAAAAAAAAAGTGACAATCCCTGTGCACTGTGTTCAGATGTTCTTTTTTTTCCCCCTTGTTTTTTATTTCTTTATTTTATTTAAATTTCTTTGTATCCCTAATGGAATAAGGGAAGGAGGAAAAAAAAAAAAAAAAAATCAATACTATCAGAAAGAGATATGAGAAGTGAAAAAGAAAGCAAATTGTTGTACTGTTTGTTGTATTCTCTCTATTTAATTGTCAATAAAAAAAAAAAATTTGAACTTAGAACATCCACAGACACTCCCCCCGGGACCTGAAGGACCTCCTCACCCACCAGAACATCCACAGACACTCCCCCCGGGACCTGAGTGACCTCCTCACCCACCAGAACATCCACAGACACTCCCCCCGGGACCTGAAGGACCTCCTCACTCACCAGAACATCCACAGACACTCCCCCCGGGACCTGAAGGACCTCCTCACCCACCAGAACATCCACAGACACTCCCCCCGGGACCTGAAGGACCTCCTCACCCACCAGAACATCCACAGACACTCCCCCCGGGACCTGAAGGACCTCCTCACCCACCAGAACCAGAACATCCACAGACACTCCCCCGGGACCTGAAGGACCTCCTCACCCACCAGAACATCCACAGACACTCCCCCCGGGACCTGAAGGACCTCCTCACTCACCAGAACATCCACAGACACTCCCCCAGGACCTGAAGGACCTCCTCACCCACCAGAACATCCACAGACACTCCCCCCGGGACCTGAAGGACCTCCTCACCCACCAGAACATCCACAGACACTCCCCCCGGACCTGAGTGACCTCCTCACCCACCAGAACATCCACAGACACTCCCCCCGGGACCTGAAGGACCTCCTCACCCACCAGAACATCCACAGACACTCCCCCACAGACACTCCCCCGGGACCTGAAGGACCTCCTCACCCACCAGAACATCCACAGACACTCCCCCCGGGACCTGAGTGACCTCCTCACCCACCAGAACATCCACAGACACTCCCCCCGGGACCTGAAGGACCTCCTCACCCACCAGAACATCCACAGACACTCCCCCCGGGACCTGAAGGACCTCCTCACTCCCCAGACCCCCTCACCCTCCCTCCACTCTGCAGCCACTCACACTCTCCAAACCCCAGAACCAAACTCTGCCCCAGGGCTGATGCGGCCTTTTCCTCTGCAGCTCCAAGGCTCTGGATGCTCTCCCCGACCACCTGAGAGCCCCACAGTCTATGTCTGTTTTTATACAAAATCTTAAACTGTGTCTTTTTACTACAGCCTTTTCTTAATTGTATTTTATTTTTGTTTTATCTTATTGGTTCCTGTAATAGTTTGAGCTTGATGCATTTTTACTCACTGTTTTTACCTGTTGCACATTGAGATTATTTTATGTAAAGTGCAATATAAATAAAATGTATTATTATTATTAGTACTTGTAGTAGCAATACTTGTAGTATTCGTAGTACTCACGGAGGAGGAGGAGCTGTGCAGTTTAGGCGAGCGATTGATGATTCCGGCGAGAGAATATCTGAGCGTGTCGAAGCGAGAACTCTTGTCCTTCCTCTCCTGAAACACACAGATCCTTTAAACACGCTTTAAACACACTTTAAACACACTTTAAAGGGATAGTTCAGGATTTTTGACATAAATCTGTGTGTCATCTTCGTGAGCAGTGTCACATCCACACTGACTTTACCCCCGACAGCGTCCGCTGAGCCGAGATACTGGCCGCGCAGTGACACGTACCGAAAGAAAATAGTGTCAAGTGATAATGAGGTCTGACTTTTTAGGCGACGATGGTTTTGTGATGCAAATGTATCACTCTTTTGAACACAGATTGTTTTGAGAAGAAAAACACTTTATTTTAACGTCCCCAGCACAACTTGTCAGATGACTTTCATCAGCACCGAAAACGGCCAGTATCTCGACTCAGCGGACGCTGTCGGGGGTAAAGTCAGTGTTGATGTGACACTGCTCATGGGGACGACACACAGATACATGTCAAAAATCCTGAACTATCCCTTTAAACACACTTTAAACACTTTTTAAACATGATATAAACATACATGTTTATAAACATGTTATAAACATTATAACATGATTAGAAAACACTTAGAACGTGCTTTAAACACACACTTTAAACACACTTTAAACACACTTTAAACCAGATGCCCTGTAAACTCACGGCGGAGCTGACTGAGCGCGTGTCGTCTTCATAGGGCGGGGCCAGTGGAGGAGGGGGCGGGGCTTGGGATGCTCCGGTGGCCATCTTGGCGTCCAGCAAAGCCTTCTGGGATATGAGGCGGGCCTCGGAGCTGCGCAGTGATTGGACGGTCTGTCGCAGCTCCAAGAGAGACAACTTCTGATTCAGGAGCTGCACACAGCTGGACACACGGGAGTAAATACAAATATATAAACAGAAATGTAAACGTAAATATAAACAGAAATGTAAACGTAAATATAAACAGAAATGTGTACGTGAGCGTGCGTGTGTGAGCGTGCGTGTGTGCGCGCGCGCGTGTGTGCGTGTGTGTGCGTATGTGCGTATGTGTGTGTGTGTGTGCGTGCGCATGTGTGCGTGCGCGTGTGTGTGCGTGCGCACGTGCGTGTGTGTGCGTGAGCGTGCGTGTGTGCGTGCGCGTGTGTGTGCATGCGCACGTGCGTGTGTGTGGGTGTGTGTGTGTGAGCGTGTGTGTGCGTGAGCGTGCGTGTGTGTGCGTGTGCGTGTGTGTGTGCGCGCGCGCGTGTGTGCGCGTGTGTGTGTGTGTGTGCGTGTGTGTGCGCGCGCGTGTGTGTGTGTGTGCGTGTGAGCGTGTGTGTGTGCGTGTGTGTCCGCGTGTGTGTGTGCGTGAGCGCGTGTGTGTGTGCGTGTGTGTCCGCGTGTGTGTGTGCGTGAGCGCGTGTGTGCGTGTGTTTGTGCACGTGTGTGCGCGTGTGTTTGCGCACGTGTGTGTGTGTGTGTGTCGTAGGGAGTCGTGTCGTAGGGAGTCGTGTCGTAGGGAGTCGTGTCGGTGACTCACTCGCTCGGTCTGAGCGCGCTCACTTCACTCGTCTGGATCTTTGAGTCCAGGTCCTGAACCAGAGACTCTTTGGTTCGAAGGTTCTGCTGCGTCACAGTCAACTCCTCCAGAGTGGACGCCAACCTGCAGGGGGCGCAAGAACACACTGTAACACACTATAACAACACAATAACACAATAACACAACAACACACCAACACAACACGGAGATGTGGGGACGACGGAGACGACAAACATTAAAGGGGCGATGTTATGAACTTTGTCATGTTGCACTAAATCATCTACAATAATTTAAAGTCAAAGCCTTTGTTTTGTTTTAAGTGGATTAGTCTCCGTTCAGTCTGCAGGTTTAACGCTCAATTCAGATTTTTTGTGTGAAATCTGATGTTTTTTCGAGGTCGTTCACATTTCCAGTTAAATGTGTCTTGTATGTGACTCCAGTGTGAACATTAAACGGTCCAAAAGTGTCCCACATGTGACACTGGAGACACAACGACGTCAACCGCAGCGAGCGTCTCTGTGTTTACACAAGTTGAACAAACATGGACGCAGCATCGAGCACCTGGAGATTTTAAAGTTCCTCTCGTACCGGAGCCACAACATGAACAACTGACTTGTTTTAAGGAGGAGATTGAGAAGGAGAAGGAGCAGGTTTTTGGTGGTGGTGTTTTGTGGTGAGTGGAGATGTGCTTCACTTCAGTCACATGGATCATGAACAGTTTTCTCTACTTCAGTGCAGAATAGTGACGTTTGTGTCTTGTTGATGACGTGTAGGTGGATGAATGTGACCTGACTGTTCACACTCAAGTCACATGTTAAAGATCAGATATGGATCAGTTTCAGGAGCACAGATCCAAGTGTCCTGGTCACATGTGAAAACATCACATCTGTGTGGTTCAGACGTCATTAAAAGATCAGATACAGAAACATAGAGACAAAACATCAGATTTGGGAAATTTCAGGTGCAGTGTGAACAGAGACTAAGTTACACTTTGACAGACAATACTTCATTTGGACTAGTAATCTGCACTCTGTGGGAGTGTTACCCTTGTAGTATTTGTAGTATTTGTAGTATTTGTAGTACTCACAGAGCCTGCAGACTGTCGGCTGTAGTAGTATTTGTAGTATTTGTAGTACTCACAGAGCCTGCAGACTGTCGGCTGTAGTAGTATTTGTAGTATTTGTAGTACTCACAGAGCCTGCAGACTGTCGGCTGTAGTAGTATTTGTAGTATTTGTAGTACTCACAGAGCCTGCAGACTGTCGGCTGTAGTAGTATTTGTAGTATTTGTAGTACTCACAGAGCCTGCAGACTGTCGGCGGTCAGGGTGTTCCACTGAATCTCGTTGGCCTGGAGGTTTTCAGTTTCCTCCAAAAGCGACGAATCAAACTCCACCGTGGGCTCAGGCTCTGCCTCCGACCTGCAGCGCAGTACAAACGTGTACAAGTACTGCATGTACAAGTACTGCCATTGTCACTCTGAACTGTCCTGCAGAGGGAGACACTTCCTCCACTCAAAACTGCACAAGGCACAAGGCTCTAACCCCACACTGTTCACCACCTTCTGACGATCATAAACCCAAACCCTAACTGTGGACTCTGGACTAAATCAAAGTGTTTAAAATGAAAAGACTCTGTGTGCAGCACTAGTAGTACTAGTACCAGCACCCGTAGTACTAGTAATAGTATCTGTAGTACCTGTAGCACTTGTAGTATTTGTAGTACCTGAGGTATTTGTAGTACCTGTAGTACCTGAGGTATCTGTAGTATTTGTAGGACCTATAGTATTTGTAGTACCTGTAGTACTTGTAGTATTTGTAGTACCTGTATTTGAGGATAAACGGCTCGTATTCGGTCTCTGGGTCGATCTGATTGACGGCATCACAGATTTCCTGATGAACTTTGGAAATGTCGTCCGTGACGAGGCTGCTGATGTCACAGTACTCCTGCAGGATGCACTTCCTGTCCACAGGTAACCAAGGAAACACACAGGTAACCAAGGAAACGCACAAACACACAAGCATAACAAATCCAATGAGACGTATGAGAGGTGTACAGTGAAAGTGAAAGTGAAAGTAAAGCGTCGTACAGCGCCAGCGTCATGTCCTCCTGCAGCTTCTGGAGGGCATCCAGGAGCGAGGGGGCGGAGCTGTTGTGATGCACTTCCTGTTGAGTCCTGGCCCCGCCCACCGCCAGCACGTACTGGTTATGAACGTTATGAAGCTTCGCCAACGCTTTGTCGTAACGATCCCTCGCCTTCTCCGCCTCGCGCCCTGAGCAGACCAGAACCAGGATCAGAACCAGAACCAGGACCAGACCAGGGTCAAGACCAGACCAGGGTCAGGACCAGACCAGGGTCAGGACCAGACCAGGACCAGACCAGGATCAGAACCACACCAGGGTCAGGACCAGACCAGGATCAGACCAGGATCAGAACCAGACCAGGATCAGGATCAGGATCAGAAAGATCATAACCGGTCTGGGGGGGTCTAGAGCAGGATCATAACCGGTCTGGGGGTCTAGAGCAGGATCATAACCGGTCTTGGAGGGTCTAGAGCAGGATCATAACCGGTCTTGGAGGGTCTAGAGCAGGATCATAACCGGTCTTGGAGGGTCTAGAGCAGGATCATAACAGGTCTTGGGAGGTACCTTTGCTCAGGGCGTCTCTGTACTTGTCGCGGGCGGCGTTGGCGTCTCGGCTCAGTTGACGATACGTCGTTTTCAACTTCTCCAGGTCGCTCCTGGTCACCTGCCACGACAGAACCACGACAGGTGAGTCTGGACCAGGAACACGACAGGTGAGGTTCTGGTGGAGGTTCTGGTGTGTGTGTGGTGGAGGTTCTGGTGTGTGTGTGGTGGAGGTTCTGGTGTGTGTGTGGTGGAGGTTCTGGTGTGTGTGTGATGGAGGTTCTGGTGGAGGTACTGGTGGAGGTTCTGGTGGGTGTGTGGTGGAGGTTCTGGTGGAGGTTCTGGTGGGTGTGTGGTGGAGGTTCTGGTGTGTGTGTGGTGGAGGTTCTGGTGTGTGTGTGGTGGAGGTTCTGGTGGAGGTTCTGGTGGAGGTTCTGGTGGAGGTTCTGGTGGGTGTGTGGTGGAGGTTCTGGTGGAGGTTCTGGTGGGTGTGTGGTGGAGGTTCTGGTGGGTGTGTGGTGGAGGTTCTGGTGGAGGTTCTGGTGGGTGTGTGTTGGAGGTTCTGGTGGGTGTGTGTTGGAGGTTCTGGTGGGTGTGTGGTGGAGGTTCTGGTGTGTGTGTGTTGGAGGTTCTGGTGGAGGTTCTGGTGGGTGTGTGTTGGAGGTTCTGGTGGGTGGTGTGTGTGGTGGAGGTTCTGGTGGGTGGTGGAGGTTCTGGTGGGTGTGTGGTGGAGGTTCTGGTGTGTGTGTGTTGGAGGTTCTGGTGGAGGTTCTGGTGGGTGTGTGTGTTGGAGGTTCTGGTGGGTGTGTGGTGTGGAGGTGTGTGGTGTGGAAGGTTCTGGTGTGTGGTGTGAGGTTCTGGTGGGTGTGTGGTGGGTGGTGTGGTGGAGGTTCTGGTGGGTGTGTGGTGGAGGTTCTGGTGGGTGTGTGGTGGGTGTGTGGTGGAGTTACCTTCAGGTGTTGGCTCTCCAGGTTCTGGTGGAGGTTCTGGTAGGTCTTCTTGACTTGCTGCTTGTCTCGGATCAGAGTGGTGAGTTTGTGCAGAGGTCCAGAGTTCAGCTCGTCTGCGTGAGTCTTCATGATCCTGCCCAGAGCTTCAGTGTGCTGCACCACCTGAGACCACGACTGAAACACACACACACACACGACTGAAACACACACACACGACTGAAACACACACACACTGAAACGCACACACACACACGACTGAAACACACACACACGACTGAAACACACACACACACGACTGAAACACACACACACACACGACTGAAACGCACACACACACGACTGAAACACACACACACACTGAAACGACACACAAACATGAAACACACACACGACTGAAACACACACACACACACGACTGAAACACACACACACACGACTGAAACACACACACACACTGACTGAAACACACACACACACGACTGAAACACACACACACACACGACTGAACGACTGAAACACACACACACCGACTGAAACACACACACACACACGACTGAAACACACACACACACACGACTGAAACACACACACGACTGAAACACACACACACACACAAGACGACTGAAACACACACACACTGAAACACACACACACGACTGAAACAACACACACACAAACACACACACAAGACTGAAACACACACACACACACGACACTGAAACACACACACACACTGAAACACACCACACACACACGACTGAAACACACACACACACGACTGAAACACACACACACACACGACTGAAACACACACACACACACGACTGAACACACACACACACACGACTGAAACCACACACACACACACTGAAACACACACACACACGACTGAAACGCACACACACACACACGACTGAAACACACACACGACCGACTGAAACACACACACACACACACGACTGAAACACACACACACGACTGAAACCACACACACACACGACACACACACACACACACGACTGAAACACACACACACGACTGAAACACACACACACACGACTGAAACACACACACACACGACTGAAACACACACACACACACACGACTGAAACACACACACACACGACTGAAACACACACACACACACACGACAACACACACACACTGAAACACACAACACACACGACTGAAACGCACACACACACACGACTGAAACACACACCACACTGACACACACACACACGACTGAAACACACACACACACACACTGAAACACACACACACACACTGAAACACACACACACGACTGAAACACACACACACGACTGAAACACACACACACGACTGAAACACACACACACACACGACTGAAACACACACACACACACGACTGAAACACACACACACGACTGAAACACACACACACACACGACTGAAACACACACACACACACGACTGAAACACACACACACACACACACACACACGACTGAAACACACACACACACACGACTGACACACACACACACACACACACACACACAGACTGAACACACACACACACACACACGACTGAACACACACACACACACGACTGAACACACACACACACACGACTGAAAACACACACACACACACGACTGAAACACACACACACACACACTGAAACACACACACACGACAAACACACACACACGACTGAAACACACACACACACACACACACACACGACTGAAACACACACACACACACGACTGAAACACACACACACACACACACACACACGACTGAAACACACACACACACACGACTGAAACACACACACAAGAACTGAAACACACACACACACACACACTGAAACACACACACACACACGACTGAAACACACACACACACACACACACACACACACGACTGAAACACACACACACGACTGAAACACACACACACACACACACACGACTGAAACACACACACACACACACGACTGAAACACACACACACACGACTGAAACACACACACACACACGACTGAAACACACACACACACACACACACGACTGAAACACACACACACACACGACTGAAACACACACACACACACACGACTGAAAACACACACACACACACACACACAAACTGAAACACACACACACACACAAGAACTGAAACACACACACACACGACTGAAACACACACACACACACGACTGAAACACACACACACACACACACACACAAGAACTGAAACACACACACACACACACACACGACTGAAACACACACACACACACACGACTGAAACACACACACACACGACTGAAACACACACACACACACACACGACTGAAACACACACACACACGACTGAACACACACACACACACGACTGAAACACACACACACACGACTGAAACACACACACACACGACTGAAACACACACACACACACGACTGAAACACACACACACACACGACTGAAACACACACACACGACTGAAACACACACACACGACTGAAACACACACACACACACGACTGAAACACACACACACACACACACACACTGAAAACACACACACGACTGAACACACACACACACACACACACACGACTGAAACACACACACACACACACGACTGAAACACACACACACACACACACACACGACTGAAACACACACACACACACGACTGAACACACACACACACACACACGACTGAACACACACAACACACACACACGACACTGAAACACACACACACACACACGACTGAAACACACACACACACACACACACACTGAAACACACACACACACGACTGAAACACACACACACGACTGAAACACACACACACACACACACACACGACTGAAACACACACACACACGACTGAAACACACACACACGACTGAAACACACACACACACACACCGACTGAAACACACACACACACACGACTGAAACACACACACACACACACGACTGAACACACACACACGACTGAAACACACACACACACACACTGAAACACACACACACACACGACTGAAACACACACACACACACGACTGAAACACACACACACACACTGACACACAGACTGAAACACACACACACACTGAAACACACACACACACGACTGAAACACACACACACACGACTGAAAACACACACACACACACACACACACAACGACTGAAACACACACACACGACTGAAACACACACACACACGACTGAAACACACACACACACACGACTGAAACACACACACACACACGACTGAAACACACACACACACACACACGACTGAAACACACACACACACACGACTGAAACACACACACACACACGACTGAAACACACACACACACGACTGAAACACACACACACACACGACTGAAACACACACACACACACACACACACACACTGAAACACACACACACACACGCGACTGAAACACACACACACACACGCGACTGAAACACACACACACACGACTGAACACACACACACACACGACTGAAACACACACACACACACGACTGAAACACACACACACACGACTGAAACACACACACGCGCGACTGAAACACACACAAGACTGAAACACACACACAAGGACTGAAACACACACACAAGACTGAAAACACACACACAAGACTGAAACACACACACACACGACTGAAACACACACACGACTGAAACACATACGACTGAAACACACGCGACTGAAACACACACACACGACTGAAA